AAAAGGTAAATAATGACTTCTCATATTCCTGAAATAAACATATCAGTCCATGCGCTAAATATCTTGTATAAAAATTCATATATTGCATGAAATATATCAAAATAAAATAGAATACCTATCCCCCAAAAATAAGGTCCTATTCATAGGTTATCCTTTCGTACTAATTTTTTTTTATAATTGACGGCTGTTATAACTAACAAAAAAGGAATTACAAATTAATTTCTTAATTTATTTTTTAACTTCTCATGAAAATGATTGGCACAGGAAGGTTAATAAACTGGATTGTTGCGTTTTCCTCAAACTGAAACTACAATAGGTAATTAGGTACTGTAAAAATAATATCTATGGTAATCTACTTAAACTTGTTGACAAAAGTATACGCGGATGTCCTATAGAGATCAGAATCAAAACATCATAATATAATAGCTTTTCGAGCGTAACTTTATTGTGTGATACGGTCATTGTAGTGCAACCAGTAATATTTTGAACAAACATTTATTTTTAGCTACTTAATATAAATACCTAACATAATAGATTATTTACCAGAAAAGAATAAAGGAATCAAAGCAGAAATATATAGTATAATTATTGTAACCAATAAATTAGATAAAACATTGCCTTTTTCATATAAACATCACAGACGCAGTAACAAAACTCGAGTTTTAATATGTAGCTAATCGATTCATACGAATTACCATACATTATTACGTATTACGTATCATTCATAATAATGTATGGTTTATCACCTATGGACCTGAGAATTTTAAAGGTTTTATTAAAGGTTTGGGCCGTTACCCCCGCCTTTATACAAAAATTATCTGAAAAGGGGATTTCTGACACATCCCATATCTAAAGTCTGTGTGGCAGCGGTATATGAAGGGCGAAGGGAACGAAACCATAGCGCGATTCAGAAAACGGACGTTATTGTACAACGCCATCTATCGGTGCAGGGAGAACTAAAATTTTTATGACAAAAAACGTTATTACCGTTGAAAAATTTATTCAAGAATAACATTGTGTGTAATAAGGTTAAAATATTATTTAATACAATATTTTTTTATTACAATTCTAGCTAAAACAGCATTTAAATCATTTAAGATTTTTCATCACGTTTTTTGTCAATTTTCCTTATTTTAACGAAGAAATTGTTACTATTTAAGTGCATGAAAAATCGTATCACCTTTGCTAATATATATTTATGTATAGTAGATATTTTACGAACGTAAAAATCGGGAAAATTATCAAACACAATTATGACGTCACGCTAAAAATGGTTGAATGTGTTATCTTTAGATCCATTAATGAATGTTATGCAACATAGGACAGACTATACATTATTCGCTTGTTTATACTGATACTATGAAAAAATTGTAGTATGTACGTTTTTATATTTTATTTTAATCAGGTGGTTTTACGACCAAAAGACCAACAATTTACCGAACAAAATATATTTTTTTTACCTTAAGCATATCTACATTTACGTTTTGTAAGTACCTACGTTGACCTCCGAAACCGGCGCATGCGACTACTGATATGCAAAATTAGACTAGAAAATGTCAACTTCCTCTTTTTTTATGTACAGCCTACATCCATTTATGTACACACAATCTTCTGTCGTAATACATAAGTACTAGTTCTAAGAAAATTATGTCATTATTACCATTTTAGGATGCGCCTGAGCATTTTAATTGTGAGACTCATTCTTCGGACATACCGTGTCACCCAGATATTTATTTGAATTGACAAATATGGTAATTATAGAAGTTTTAAGGTAGATAGGCTTTTTATTCACATGTACATCATGCCTTTTGTCCCCGAAGTGGAAGCAGAGATGCACATTATGGCACTTACTGCCACCGTATAATGTTAGACCTACTTTTCACCGAGTCCCATGTAATAGGGGGTGAGCCTATTGCCATATACCGGGTACAATTCCAGACTCCGAAATATAAATACAACACTACTAAGAAATTAAAAAAACATACATAACATCACGCCCTTTATCCCCGAAGGGGTAGGCAGGGGTGCACATTATACCAATGTACAATGTAACACTCAGTGTTATGTTATGAATCCCATGTAATAGGGGGTGAGCCTATTAAAATTAAGATATTAAAAAAAATCCAATAATACTTCGCCCGACCCGGGAATCGAACCCGAGACCCCTTGCCCAGCAGTAGCATTTGCACTCGGCCAACGAGGCAAATACTGTCAGGGTACGGGATAGGCTTTTTATTTACGGTGGGGGTAAGCTGTGTACAAGCTAGGAGTTTAGTCGTAGCTAGAAAAAGCTCAAGGGAAAGGTCACGCACGATACTCTTACTCATCAGCAGCATGCGTAAACGCAGCGAACCAGTGTAGCCTACGCTCAGTTTTCTCAGTAATTAATTTCCGTGAAGAAACCGGTATTTTTTACCGACTTCCCAAAAATAAATGGTTGTCAATTCGGGTGTATGTCGCTTTTTTATGTGTATGTTACGCGATTACTCCAGCGTCTGGAGACAGACTTGATTGATATTTTTTTTTGTTACAAAGGCTACACACTCTCGAGGTGATCTCTGATTTCTACCAGATCAGGATCCGATGATGGGAACACGTCAGGGAAACCGAGGGGAATTTTAAATTTTAGGGTGACTAGTGCGTTTGTTAATGTTTTCATTAACTATTTTAAAACACTGCAATTTGATTCCGGCCTGGAGTCGATCCGATAATAAACTCCTCGAGGATTTACACCTTTGACCCCGTGGGCTTGAATTATTTGGATTGATAAGAACTTTACATTTAGATGAAGGTGCGCATGCGCCACGCGCGCATCGCCAACCACGTGTTCTTGTGAGAGACGACACAATTACGCGCGTAGTAATTGTCATAAGGGGTCTGATGATGAAGTAGTAGGATAGTTGAGGGAACTCCTCGACGGTTAACAGTAGCTACTTTGTGTTTGGGTTTAATTAATCTGTATTGATGAGAACTTTACACTTAGATGGAGTGTAATTGTCATAAAAGGTCTGACGACGAAGAACTACGATAGTTAAGGGAACTCCCCTTGTTTGGGTTTATTAATTTGTTTTAATGAATTTTTTACACCTAGTTGGAGTGTGAATGTCATTAAGGGTCTGATGATGAATAAGTACGATAGCTAAGGGAACTCCTCAGGAGTTAATGGTAGCTCCCTTGTGTTTGGGCGTCATTAACCTGTATTGATGAGAATTTAACACCTAAATGGGGTGTTATTGTAATTAGGGGTCCGATGATGAAGTAGTATGATAGTTGAGGGAACTTCTCAAAGATTAACAGTAGGTATCTTGTATTTGTATTTGATTAATTTGTATTGATGAGGACTCTACCTAGGAGTGGTGTGTATGTCATTAAGGGCCTGGTGATGAATAAGTATAAAAGCTAAGGGAACTCCTCAAGGGTCAACGGTAGCTGCCTTGTGTTTGGGTCTCATTAATCTGTATTGACACCTAAATGGTGTGTGATAGCGATTAGGAGGCCGGTGATAAGGTAGTATAATAGTCAAAGGAACTCCTCAATGGTTAACAGTAGCTACCTGGTGTTTGAGCTTGAATATTTTTTATTGATTATTATCAATAAAAATTATTCAAGCAAGAAGTTATTATTTCGCACCCATGTGTGTTAAACTGTTAGTACTAAACTAAAAGAAACTATAAAATAATTGGTTTAATATGAAAGTTTGGTAAGATAAACCATTTCGACAATTCTATTGGTCTTCATATTATATCATAGTAATTCATATCATAGTAAGAGATACTTTGAATCCTCAATTATTTTTGACTGCACGGTTAGCACCGTGGCTGGTGGTGGGTTCGATTCCCGCACGGTGCTCTTTGTGTGATCCACAAATTATTGTTTCGGGTCTGGGTCACATAGACATGACGTGTATGTGAACTTGTATGAATGCATACGCACGCAAAACAGGGGAAAATGTAGTGTGGGGAACCGGTATTTTTTAATTAAAAAATGAATAATAAATTAGGTAGGTTCAACCTCGAAGGGTGCAATATAAATAAGAAAATTCTGTAAACTAATTCCAATTAAGTAGAGATTAGTAAGAATACAGCTGATTAACAAATACCAAGTGGCCGATGTTCGGTAATCTTATCCGGTACATCCCTACATGGTCGTACCATCCATGTGTGAGTAAGAGGATGTCGTCACGACACTCTTATGCCTTTTTTGGTCACACCCTTTTTCATCGAATCCAGAATTCGCTTTGCAACATTCTTAAAGCCTACTTACATCGGTCGGTGCATATACGATATATGATAAAATCAGGCTCTATACGGTAGGTAAGATTTCAAAATGCTCTTTTTAACATATGTCGTTATTGTTTGTTTGTAACGTTACATTAGTTATATTTTATTATTCTGTTTGTAAACAGTTCGTTTTGTAGAGGTATATGTGAGGTAACTATACTGTTGTCCAATAAAATTAAAACAGAATCGAAAAGGTCGAAATCAAGAAAAACAAAAATATAATTAGCAAATATATTTACCCATGCGCGCATAAATAGGAAGTTGAAAGTGTCTCTTTAATGAGGAAACAGATTTTATGGTTTTATCCAACTGAAGCTATTTATAAGAGCTATTGGGAATTTTGCACTATCTGCATCTACGTGCAATATCTTAGATAAAAAGTTATAATCGAACGTTAGACTTATCCGTTATTAATGTCGAAATTAAAAATGTCATTCAAACGCATGTTGATAATATTATTATTAATGACAAACGTAATAACTGATATAGCATTACTAATCACAATCAAGTAGGAACAGTTATGCGGAAAATAAATAAAAAATGTTATATCTTCATTTTGTTATACAACAAAAAGTTTCAAAATATATTCATGAAATGTCGCCAGCGGTTAACTTAAAATACATAAATAAACATTAGCAGCAAAAGAGATATTTAATTCAACGTAAAAAATAAATAAAAACCACCCTGTAATTGTGGATAGACAAAAAATATGTCACTTACTTTTTCAGCATGAACGCCTTGCTGAGCTCCTTGAGGACTGTGGAGACGATAGCTCCGGCAGCCGGCACTGCCAGCACGGAGGCATCCATGCAGGCGGACAGAGCAGCTGGCGCTAGGACGCCCAGCCGGCTAAACCTCTGATTATCCTTCGACATCACTTTACTCTTCAACTTGAACTCTAAAGTCCACTAGAACTGTCAACTAGTCGCAATTCGTAAACTGAAAGCGCGCGACCGTCACCGCTGAGCGATCCGCTTCGCACGCTACTTCACGATTGAATGCTGCCTCGATCGAAGTTTGCGCGGGCGCTGCGTTTATGACGCCCTTACTACGGCCCGTCGAACAAGTTTACTAACAAATGCACGCGGGGAGGGGCAAGATGCTCGGCCCTCGAAGACATCGACTCACGCAGGCCACTTAATGAGTCCGATGGGGTTTACCCTCTGCGAATATCATATCTCGTATTAATTATTGGAGGTGTGTACCTACGAGGTAACGGTTCAATTGGGTATTTCTTAGTGTTTAGTCATTATAGGTATCTGCTAATTCATAATATCTTGAGGTTTTAAGGAAAAGGTGATACGTTCTCAACATGCATCGCGTATTCTTTTTGTCTTTATTTTATCTTTTATTACTTTTTTTTATATATATATATTAGATGGGGCGACGTTTGACCACTATCTCGCCTGGTGGTAAGCGATGATGCGGTCTACGATGTAGCACGTCGTCCCATAAGCAACCTATTCACTCGGGCCTTGAAGACTCCCAGGTTGTACCCTTCAGGAAATACAGACTCTGGCAAAGAATTCCACTCTTTAGCAGTACGCACAATTACTATAATTTATTAACACACTTTTTATACACCATTGTCCAAATATTCAAACGTCACTTAATGTTAAGACGCGCTTAGTAAAATTATAGTTCTGTCACTACAAATTCATTGTAAAATGATAGAGATGACACGATATTTAAGTACAATTTAAAATGGAATAGCCTTTCAGTATTCGGGCGAATGGGACAACATTTTAACACAGTATTGTGAGAGCGAGTACTAAAAGATGCGATAATAATTTACAAAGAGAGTATTTATATCTATCAACACGTTTGGCATGCAGAGGATGCGTACTCAGAAATTAGTTGTATATCCCAAGGTCGCGTCCAACCGGCCTATCTGGAAGTCATTGGGGGAGGCCTATCTTCAGCAGTGGACGTCCAATGATATGATGGTAATGATTTCCCAAGATGTATATAGTAAAGCATCATTATTTATGGAGCCAGGTTTATGCTCCTTTTTATTTAGCTGAAATAGGATGCCATACATCAGAAAATATACATTTAAGATCCAAAGGTCTACAGGAAAGGTCGCATCCACTGCAACAGCTGCACTCTGTTCTAATGCCAGTAATGCATCCTAATGAGGAAACAAGGTAATTTGAATCTCAATTGCAATACAATGACTGACAATTTATTATGTAATTTCACACATACATTTACAATAACACACATTATCTACTCAGTAGTGAATATAAATGTAGAAAACAGATTAAATTTTAGCATACACCTTTTACATTGTAATGGACATATATAAATGAGAGTAAGTTTTTATTATTGTTCGTCGAACGTAATTTTCTCATAAATTATGTTACGTTACTAACGTCATACACAGATTATATTGATTACATAGAAAATGGTCAGTAAAATGTCTCCAGGTACAGCCTCATTGATTAAGTAAGAAGCTCGACATAATTCTAAATCCTCAAATCTCTAAATCGCAAAAAACCAGTAACACACCTATTATATCTCCTCCCCTGGTGTTATGGGTGTCCATGGGCGATTGCTTACAATCTGATAATCAGCTCGTTGGTCTCCTTACCGTATAAAAATAAAACTAAAATTAAGCGAACTTTGAATTGCCATGCACCCCGAAACACACGTTGCTAGATAGTAATATTTCAAAGAAATTAATCACCAGTTCGTACCAGATATTCAACTGAAGAAACATACAGATAAACAAAGATAATGCACCGAATTTCTTTTTGTGCAATCATTTGTTCGGGGAATAACTGCAACCGTGTGTAGACTAGGTGTGACTAGGTGCGATGAACTTTAGACCGAAGATTTTAAAGATAAGTAATATTATCAACATACAACATCTTTCAATAGTCTTCATTCATTATTGCCTAACTATTAAGTCATTTACGTTTTAATGACCATCATTAAAGGTAACCCATTACACGAGATAAGTAAGTTGTGGAAATCAGTCATCATTATTATTATCACTCCCTACGACCTTGATCAGGTCGTCAACTTGTGAGTAGTCTTCAACAGTTCACGAAATGATTAGTAAATAAAATATCATTAAATGTGATGCAAGCCTTACAATCACACAATATCATGCAACTTTGCAATACTACACAATAGTATAGACACAAGAGCATACGTGACTGATCCTGTTCGCGACGAGCCTTTCGAAGAAACCATAATATCCACAGGAAAGTATAGGCACCTCTCTCTACAAAATTCCCCATAACCCAGACCCAGCCTCGTGGAGGAGGAAAATGTAACATCGATACAAGACGATTGAAGATTGCGTGAATGTTTAAAAGATTGCTTTAATCAAATAAACTTTTGATAACCACAACGTCATTAGCTTTTTGAAGACAAAAAACACAGGAGGCAAAAAAGTACTTTTTGCGTTCTGTGTTTTACATAAGTGTGAAATTAAGTTGTGTATTGTGTATAGTAGAATTTAGAGAAATATTTATTTACGTTTCAATAAAAAACTTAAATAACAACTATTACATAAATAAAATTAAAACTAAGTATTACTAAATTAAATATATACAACTTATGAAATACATGCCTTTGCGTTTTCAAAATTTTGCGATCACGACAAGAAGACGGTGGTCTAACGTATGTAATGTTATTATTCGAACATAATAATTTATATTGGGAGTTTAGGATGTCAGCAGTTCCCGTTATTTGGTTTCTATTTTTAGATTTAAAACCTTAGTCTTTGTATTTTTCTTTCACAGGACTTTGGTCTTTACAAGGAGTCAAAATCGGTTCGTTATATATACGGCTACTACTTCAGTGTTCGCAAACATGGAAATATTTCGAAGGATTAATAATAAGAATATCTGGACTTATAATACCGACCTTAAGCAAGCCTGGCGGTACGCTGTAGGCAAAAGAACTGAGTGACAATCGTTTTGTCCAGGTTAGGAAGGTTGCAAGCTGATGATTATAATAAATTACGGACATCAGTTCTCCTTCCCCTTTATAACTAGTCCCTCACATCACATTCCTCCTACCATAATTGTCGGCAAACTTTATTTAATTAAGTAGAAATTTCTCCCAATCACCTCCATGATATGGTTATACATAACGATTAATTTTATCGAAATCTAGTACTGCAGATAAAATCTAAAGGGGATAATTTCAGTTTAAACAGTAGCAGGAATCAATCATACGAAAACATTGTGATCTTTATCGTATAATTTGATAGCAACTTTGATTAGATTATCTTGAAATGGATAATTATAACGCTCAAGGACTTATTTTTGCTTATAATTTAGGCTACAGCAATTTCTAGAAGTAATAAACTGCGGCTTGTTTTGTGCCATATCTATTTTTCGGCCTACCCTAAACTTTTATCACTATACTGAGTGTTGGTGCAATATTATTTAGATATATCTTAGTGTAAGCATTTGTACTGACGGTAGAGTAAAATACATTTCATTTTGTCACTTCCTTTACTTACCCCACCGGTGCCATATAAACTGATTAAGAGCGACGCTCCATTTGTTCATTACGCTGCGTTGCGACGTCGCAGTGTCATTTTCCATATTATTTTGACATCCCCCGTTGCGTTATTGCGTTGTTAAACTCGTTTCAATGGATAAGAGATGAAGTAGGAGAAATAATGATGCGCTGCCGTCAACGCAACGCAGGTTTGCGACGTGTGCCGTGTGCCGCCACAAACCTGGTGGCACGTACAATACAGTGTTCCATTCCGACGACGCAACGCAACACATTGCAACAAACAAGTGGGGCCTCGCTCTAAGGATCCCTTGACAGGGACCGGGCAGCCACATTCTATGTTAAACCTGAATTTTGATCTCCAACCTCAATGCTAATTTTGGAACATCCTCTAATTCAAAGAATCAGGTTGATCGTCCAGCAGTTATACGAGATAGTTAATATGGATGCCCTCAGTCATAAATAGTTCATGATTCTCTTTGTCCATTCATTTGACAGCACGGTTGATGCGGTGGCTGGACAATCGGCTGCCGTGCAACGTGTCGCGGGTTCGATTCCCGCACGGAATAACCATGTGTGTGATCCACAAATTGTTGTTTTTTCGGGTCTGGGTGTCATTGTGTATGTGAACTTGTATGTTTGCAAACGAACCCACGTCACAGAAAAATCTAATGTTGGGCAAAGTTTAAAAAACAAAATTCCTTGCATTCTTCATCTACTCATCACCATCGTCTACTTATTTCAGTCCGATACAGGTTCGAACCTTTTCATTCATTTATAATTATATTTGCAATACTATGACGAATGTCGCAGAGTAATAAGATGGAGTATCTATCTTATTGGTCTACATCTACAGCATACGTCTTTATGTCGTCAGATAACGCAGTTGCCTTCTTTAGATTGACGTCATATTATTATGATGAGTAAATAAAAAAGCATTTCAGTGATGATTCACTTAGGTAGAGTAGTCGTAAATGCGACTGTCGAGCTGGGAGTTACGGTATACTACAAATGGGTCTTAAAATGAACATGGACAAGAGAACCTTCTCCACGTCCTCTGGCTGGAGACTCTGAGTTAACAGGAGTGTCTAAGTGCGGAACCTATTACGCACCATCCGACAGGGACGTCCCAACGGGTCTATGTTCAGCAGAGTCTCCAGCATTACTGGGTCTCAAGGTCTCAAGTATTAGTCTATCACTTCGGGGATTTTTTTTTAATCTGTATTTAATAAGAAGGGCTTTTTTCCGTAGAGGAAAATGTCAGCCCTATTATAGAATACAAAATTCAATATTAAAAATAAAGCAGCTGAACCGTTTATAGGTTTAACTAGCCCTTAAGCTCAAACACAAAATAATTAAACTGTACAATTTTCTAGCCTCAGATGACAATGGTGACGCTAAAACACTGTGATAAAAACAATATTAAAGCTCTTAAAACTAAAAACCTAATTCCTCTGAGACTCAATACGTCGACACTCGTACAAAATGTGTTGCACATCCTCTACAACATCACACACAACACAATTTGGTGATTCGATTTTATGCATCATGAATCCGAAACTATTAAGAGGCATATGTCCAGATAAAAGGCGTGATATTA